AGTAAGAGCATCTATAGCTAAAGCAAAAAGATAAGGACTTAGTCGATCCCTTCAAGAATTGAAAGATCTGTTAGCCCAATATATAGTTCCATATCTAGGCATTGATATGAGCACATATCATACTGATTCATCGTTAAGACTTTACTTCAAAACTTTAGCTGTAACTAAGAGTACATAGAGGTCATCAAGGATTTTTTATTTATTTATTTTTATTTAAATTAAAATAAATTTGATTGAGATAGTTATTTTAAAAACACTAAAAACTTCTTTTAAATGTTTTGATTGTTTTTTAAAAACAAGTTGATTTATTTTTAAAAATGAAAAATAAAACAAATACAAATTATATCAGCCAACAAATTCTTTTTAATATAGGATGCTTTTTCCAAAAAATGGAGGAGAAACATACCTTGTAATCGAAGGTCTGCTTGGATGACTCGAGACGAATAAAGTCATACGAGGAGCCGCTTCCTTCATGAGGTCGAAAGCTAATCATTAAACTACAGTCCTTTGCAGTGGCAGCTATTAGAAAATTCCTTACAATTTTCACGCTTTCTTCTAAAGATAGAGCATGCAAACAAGAATACTTCTGCAGCAATTCAGAGTCCCCAAGATTTTTGCATACCATGCAAGGCTCGGAAATAATATTGTAATATACATGAATGGTTCCTTCTATGTCAAATAAATCAAGCTTTTGAACAGCTAGAAGTCGGTCCAGTACTCCTGATCTGAAAATTGCCTCAGAGACAAGTTCAATGAAGCTAGCTAATCTTAGGCCATATTCTCCATTTATGAGTATCTTAAGTTGGTCTTCAATGCTAGAGCCAATCTCACCAATTTTTCTATTGCTATCTGCTCCCTCCATGTCTCCAAATATGAGAGTGCCATTCAGAAAAATTCGGAAGTTATTTGAAGGAGTTGTGAAGAGTGCAGCAAAGGCTTTGTTTATCTGCTCTATAGATCCCGAGAACAGATCCAGTGGATTGTAATCACTCGGCTGTGATATCTGAAATGCAAAAAAAAAAAATGTTTCAATTTATAACCCTTAGTCGTAATGCAAACAGGATACTATCTTATCTGGAAAATTAGAATAATTCAGAGAAATTTCATGGTTCTTGTTAAACAACAACAACAACAACAACAATAACAAAGCCT